CTGTTCTTTTCATTCAAATTGCGTTCTTTTCATTCAAATTCCATTCTTTTGATTCTCATTCTTTTGTTTTCATTCTAATTCTGTTCTTTTCATTTTAATTCCGTTGTTTTCATTCAAATTCTCTTCTTTTCATTCTAATTCTTTTGCTTTTATTCAAATTCTGTTCATTTCATTCAAATTCCATTGTTTTCATTCAAAATCTGGTCATTTCATTTTAATTCCATTGTTTTCATTCAAATTCTGTTCTTCTCATTCTAATTATTTTCTTTTCATTTTAATTCGGTTGTTTTCATTCAAATTCCCGTGCTTTCATTCTAATGCTTTTGTTTTCATTCAAATTGCATTCTTTTCATTCAAATTGCATTCTTTTGATTCTAATTCTTTTTTCATTCAAATTCTGTTCTTTTCATTCTAATTCTTTTATTTTCATTCAAAATCTGTTCTTTTCATTCACATTCCGTTGTTTTCATTCTAATTTCGTTGTTTTCATTCTAATTTCGTTGTTTTTATTCAAATGCTGTTCTTTTCATTCTAATTCTTTTGTTTTCATTCAAATTCTCTTCTTTTCATTCAAATTCCGGTGCTTTTATTCTATTTTTTTTGTTTTCATTCAAATTCTGTTCTTTTCATTCTAATTCTGTTGCTTTCATTCAAATTCTGTTCTTTTCATTCAAATTCTATTGTTTGCTCTCAAATTCTGTTCTTTTCATTCACATTCCGTTGTTTTCATTCTAATTCGATTCTTCTCATTCTAATTCTGTTCTTTTCATTTTAATTCCGTTCTTTTCATTCAAATTCCGGTGCTTCAATTCAATTTTTTTTGTTTTCATTCAAATTCCGTTATTTTCATTCTTATTCCGTTGTTTTCATTCAAATTCTTTTGTTTTTATTCCAATGCTGTTCTTCTCATTCTAATTCTACTCTTTTTTTCCATTCAAATTCCATTGTTTTCATTCAAAATCTGTTGTTTTTATTTAAGTTCCTCAAAATCCCATAATACACAAATAAGGATTTATACAATACATGGATAGGACATGAAACTAGCTGCTCGTGTGCTGCAGGTGGCTGGTCTCGAGATAGTGTTGGGCACAGAGCATGACTGGGCCATGATGCTGTCCCTGTCTCTCATCCCGGCCCTCACACAGTATGTGATCCTACCCTTCTGTCCTGAGAGTCCCCGCTATCTGCTCATCAACCGGCAAGAAGAAATCAAGGCCAAAAGTGGTAGGTTCCACTCACTGGACTTACTGTTCATATCGTTTAATAAATCATCCTCTCTCTAAAGAGATTACTCTTTTGTATTATGATATATTAAAAGAGATGAATTAATTTGTATGACATTCTCAAGTTGGTTCCAGAAGTTAAAATGCAGAAATGGTTTACTACGGTTTACTATCCCAGCTTTGTGGATTTCACCTAAACATCCCCTTAGAATATGTTGAAAGTTGTTTCTTTAATCCTGCAGCCCTGCTGAGGCTGAGAGGCAGAGCTGAAAATGTATTTGCTGAGCTGGAAGAAATGAAAGAGGAAGCTGCTCACACACAGAGTCATGTCACCATCCAGGATTTCTTCAAGAAACGCAGCTACAGGCAACCGATCATTATTGTCCTGATTGTTAGCCTGGGAAGCCAGCTCTCTGGATTCAATGCGGTCAGTGATAAAATCCTCTTAATCTGAAAAATATTTCTCTGACATATATTTCTCTTTTTCTATGTGTTGAAATAGATGAAGTAAAAGCTCCTGGCCTCAACTTTAGCTTGACCTTTTTCCTTGGTGTCATGCTATGGTAACCTAACTCTGAAAGACACAAACAAACTGATGCAAAATATGAAGGTTAAGCTGCTATTTACCAGTCTCTCTGTACCTGACAGCTGCAGAGACTGGCCAGTTCCATCTTACATGAAGACACCCATCCCTTTTGTGGGGATTTTTAGCTTCTTTCCTCTGGATGGAAAGGAGGCTTACTCATTTTTGGAGGCTGCCTCAAGGAGTACTTGGCATTTCTACATTGGCTTCTTTTCTTTTTTAGTTTTGCACACTTGCTGTAACCCTGAGAAGAGCTTGAGGCAATATCTCAACCCTAAAACCCCCCCAAAAAACATTGAAATATTTCTCAGTTACTCACTAAACTAAACTAAATTCCTGTGCTTTTCTTCCAGATAATCAACTATTCCACCAAAATGTTTCAGGCCAAGTTTGACCAGGCCAAATATCTCACACTGGGTGTTGGGACCGTCAATCTGACGTTCACTTTGGTAGCAGTAAGTACAAACCAAGTGCTGATCCTTTATATTGCAGTTCAGTGTGTTTTTGAATGCGAAACGATATTATTTCTTATATTTAATAGGTTGCTCAATATAATCAGTAAATCAGCTGTGCCCTATTTTGTTGATTTTGTCACAGAAAGCATGAAGTTTTGTCATTATTTCTTCATGAATGGTTTAACAGCATGAACCACAAAAGGGATAGTGTTGCATTTTAATACCAGTGTGTTGTTTTTTCCTCTCCAGTTCTTCCTGATGGAGAGGGCAGGGAGGAGGCGGTTGCTCCTGACTGGTTTCATCTCCATAGCAGTGTGCAACTTAATCATGACCGTAGTCGATTCTGTCCTGGTAAAATCATCTATGTGTGGTTGTTTCCATTTGTGCAGAAAAAAGTTATGTGCTGGTTTTGAATGTATATCCAACTTCTGCAAACCGTGGAACCCGATCTTATGACATGATTAAATGGATAATATGAAAAATAAACCATGGCATAGCTTGGAGGATGTTTGAAAAGGAAGCTTCAAGTTTAAACAATTTTATACTAAAAACTGTCTAATTTAGAGAGAAAGACACCATCTACATGTTAACCTAACAGAATTTTCTACATGTCTACATGACTAACCTACAACCATCCTTCCAATTTATTATTTTACTGTGTAGCATCTGGTCCCAGAACTCAGAAGCCTACAAGTGCTGCTGGTTTTCTGCCTGACTTCAGCCTATGAGCTGGGCCCAGGTCCGATCTCCTGGTTCATTGCTGCCGAGCTGTTCGACCAGTCTGGCAGACCTATAGCCATGGCCTTCAGTAGCCTGCTCAACTGGGGAGGGAAGTTTGTTCTGGCACTTCTCTTTCCTCCATTACTGGTGCGTAACATTTATACCGTTGGCCTGCATGCTGTATGACCAAGCAAGACTTCAGGGGAAACTTTAAAGGTGGATTTCTTGTTTGCTTTTGTGAGTTTGCTTACACCTCAGAGAAATAGCTGTTAAATACAGGCCATAAATCTGCTCCATCTGTTACACTGCACATATGTATCTATAGCAAAACATATAAATCTATTGCTAAATCCTTTAAATCCAGCTTGAAATAATGTAATAAGTAATTAAATTACAGTTAACAAAAGAAGCATCTGTTCCCTATAGTGCAGCAGAAACGGCAGCCAACATGAAATTAAGACCAGTGAACCAAATCAATACCTTTTGTATTTGCTTTCTTTCCTTCTCTTTTTAACATTGTTTTGCTCTTGTGGTATGAGATTCCCATCTCAAGTGACCATTCCTAGGTAAGCAGAGGTCAAATAAAAACATTAAAAAAAGGATTCTTGTCTGTCTCTCTCACACAGAAAATCTGTGGTGCTTATGTCTACCTCCTTTTTATGATCGTGGCTCTGCTCGCCTTCACCTTCACCTGGATTCGCCTCCCGGAAACAAAGGGTCGTACATTTGATGACATCGCAGAGGAGTTCAGAGGAGCAGAGGGCATCCCGTTGCACAATAAGACTGTATTCAACACTTTCACCTGAGCAACGTGTCAGTTTTGATTGATGCTGGTCAATAATCAGTGTATAACGAGTCAATTCAATTTAAAGCAACAAAAAAATATGCTACAAAACTGTTTTGAATATAAATCTGGTGCTCACAGCATTGAAAATTTACTTTTAAATAACAAATCTTTAACACAAAACAAGAAAACCACAAACACCAAACCATCTTATCAATGCAATTGCTGTTACTCAAAGCACGCACAGATATTATTTATGCAAAGACATTTTAATACTCAGAGCTCAAAAATGATAATTATTCAAACTCAGAGCACCAAAATTTAAGTCCATTAGGTACAGGTTCTGACTCTTACTTTTACCTTACTTCTTTAGGCTCTCCAGCAAAATGACACTAAAAAAATGATATTAAAAGTAGATTATAGTTTATATTTATACTGCATGTATGAGGCATTTTGTGGTCATTGCGTTGTTATTTTGTAAAAGCACTAGGGGGAGATTGTGGGAATAGTGGAAAAAGTTTGCAACACATTCTTTGCATAGTTTATAGCTTGTAAAAACGCTGGATTTATTTCCACACCATCAACCAAGCCTCTTTTTTAAATTTTAACACACAAGTGTACCGTGACACACTGCCTGGCAAACAAGAAAGTTAGAACACTTCCAGCATGTCCAAAATGTTTAGTAGAGTTCCTGTAACTTCTTTCCCTCTTGTTATTTCCATAAATCTGCTAGTTATATCGTAACTTAATATCAGGTAGCAAATGAGATTATTGTAATTCTTAAAAATGGTTTTGTAGTGATCCAATTAGATGTTTTTGCTTATCTAAAAATTATACTTTTAAATGTTCAGCCTAGTTTAAGGCACCATCTGTACCTGATCTCCTATGGAGCCTTTCTTAGTTGGATTCTCAGCGGTGCAGCCTTACAATTCATTATTTGTGTGCAAAATCTCACATGTCTCTGAATTGTGTATATTTGTAATATGCCTGAAAACCAACCACAGCTCTGAGGATAAATATGTGATCCAACACGATCCACTTTGACTCGCAGGAACCGCAGAGGGAGTGAGACCAGGAGATTAGAGGACAAGTTTGGCTTTTAAAACAGCAGGGGGTCAGAATAAAATGGAAATGAATAATGCTGTACTTGTCTATTCAAAGTCAGTTTCTAATAACTCAAAAACAGAGCCAGAACTCAGTCAGCTTGTAAAGGATGTGTTCTCATTTGTCTATGGACAGCTTGTTTTTTCTTTTTAGACACACAAGCAAAGTCCACAGAGACTATAATTTTTTTCCCATAAAAAAGGCAGATCGACTGAGCAGGGTGTTCAAAAAACAACATTCAGGATTTCATTCCATTTTCCAACACTTTGTGTAAAAATATGTAAACAGCGCCATCTACTGGACCAAACCGTCTCTTTTAGTTATTAATCCATAAACTACATGCAGATATATGTTGGTAAATGACTTAAGTGGCTTTAGTTAGTGGTGCAGCAAAGAGGAGACAACTGATCAAGTGGACAGCACGGTGAAAGGGAGACTGGAAACAGTTTTCACACTGCTATGTGTAGCTTTTGTAAATAAAAAAACAACAACAATACTGTATTGTTATAATAAATGAGTATTAAAAAAAACCTGCAATATCAAGTAATTTTCTCTGATAACCCATCCTGACAAAAACAAAAAGGGAAGATTGAATCCATGAAGCCATGCATTTGTTTTGCTTGAGGATATTATTAAAAATACCTTCACCACCCTTTCAACTGATGCTATTTAGTCACTGTGATTTGAGTAAAACACAGAAGGACTGCTGTGTAAACTTTTATTTCACAGCTAGAAAACCCATAGCAACATAAAAGTAACAGCAAACAGTATTTATTTATTTTTTAATTACAAGATATTAGTTTATTTTTTATGAATTTCGAATGATAACATAAGTAAAATGGCTTTGATGGACTGTAGGGGGAACCAGAGTACCAATTATATTACATCTGCAGTTGGACTGAAAGTCTTGCTACATATAGAGCAGTTCCTCAGAATCTGGGGACAATATAATCTAGAGGGACAGTCTCACCAGCAGCTTTACATATCTCTGTACCTACAGTATATACGATGCTGACACCTTTTGTCCAACAGAACATGAATACAGTTCTCAACAAAGTCATCCTCGGATTATTCTTCATTTTAAAGTGGGATTCAGGTAATCTGCAGTCTGATCAACATTTTTAATGTTTTTGCAGTTGTTGTGAATGTTTTGTTTTTACAGTGTGTGGTAACATCTTCTGTTAAACTCGTAGGTGATGGGAGTGATGTCACCCAAAACTCCA